CAGGAAGTGTGAATCTGAGCGTGTCCCGGTCAGAGGTGGGAAAGCCCGGGTGAGCCGGGTGCTCTGCTGCTGAGAAAGCCCGAGCAGAGAGCTGTGGCGTGCCTCGGTCTGGGGCAGCCGGCGGCAGGTCCCGGTTTCTCGGCTTTAGGCTTGTCACGTGCTGCTGCAGCCCCTGCCCGGGGCGTGCTCACCGCAAGTGGGCCTGTGCCGGGTCTCGGTTACCGGCACTGATGGCTGTGGGAAGTGACAGCTTGTCCTGCGAGTGTAAACACAGGCATTTAATGTCCCCTCGCCCCTAGGAAGGAAAGGAGGCGAGCTGGCCTCTGCGGTCCACGCCTACACGAAGACGGGGGACCCGTACGTGCGGTCCCTGGTGCGGCACATCCTCAGCCTGGTGTCGCACCCCGTGCTGAGCTTCCTATTCCGCTGGATCTACGACGGGGAGCTGGAGGACACGTACCACGAGGTGAGCATGCCCGGCTGCGGGCAGGGCACTGCTTGTCCCACCGGGCCATGTGACCCTGCATGGTGGTCACTTCAACAGGGTGCCCGTGGGTCCCCGAGTGCCTGCACAGTCCACAGCACTGGGCCACGGGGGGTCCTCTGAGCCACAGAGCACGAGTGGGAAGTGTGTCCCACGCCGGTGGCAGGTGGCCGAGGCCTCCTGTTGTCAGTCCAGCCTACCTGGTGGCTGAGCCTTACTGTGCTCATGCTTTGAGTGATGGCCAGACCGTCACCGAGATTATCGTGGTACTGACAGTGGAGTCGGACAGGTGCTCAGATGCCGGCCGGGACACTGCCTCGAACTGGCCCGTCGGATGTGGGCCCTGCAGTTGGAACTGCCAGTGACGTGCAGAGCCGGGAGAGCGACCCGAGCCGGGGTGCAGCAGCAGGGTCTTACGTACACTCACTGGCTCAGGAAGAAGGCGCTCCTTGGGCCTGCAGGTGATGCGGTGGTTAAGGTGCTGGGTCTCCATCTGGCTGACTGCAGTCCGAGTCCCAGACCTAGTGGCTGGAAACCCACACCAGGCACGTGTGCACGTGTGCTCAAAACCCTGAAAGGAGAATGGAGAAGGGACCATGGTGTGGTGACCTTCCCCGCTTGGGGCGATTTCTCACCTTTTCTCTCTGGCAAGCACACGTCCCCTGTAGCAAAGATAAATAATTGAAAGCTCCTTGAGTGAGTCTCGAGTGGAGAGGAGGTTTTCGGAAGGAATGGCGCGTTGGCAATGGGGTGGCACGTGTGTGCGGCCGTGCTGGGCAGCAGCTGGTGTGTGGGGCAGCTGTGCAGCCCCCTCTGCTCCCGCCTGGTTTTCCGACGCAGTTGCACGTGAGCAAACGGGAAGCCAGCGCCGTGCTCACACCCTCCTCCCCACCCGGCTCAGCCGCGCTGCTCGGTCGTGCTAGGGGAAGACGGTAGCCACGCGGCCGTACCTGGGGCTGCCCCACGTGTGGCGCCGCTGGGGGCTGGGTGAGGCGCGCTTTTTTTCGTACCTGGGGCTGTGCTTTGTGACCATGCTCATCTCCCCGGGGCAGTCGGCCTGCACTCTGCGGCTCTCCCGTGGTCAGACTGGTGCGGTCTCACGGACGCTGCCACAGCCCTCATCCTCTTGTGTGCCTCCCCGCATGCGTCCGTGGCCTCTGTTCTCGCAGGTCAGGCGGAAGGCTGGTCTCAGCCCCCACCCTGGCCGCTGTGTGTTACCCGGAGGGTC